TTTGCACCGTCCATTTGCATGCGCACACGTACATAAACGTGATTATATGATATGTTTTTGCACCGTCCATTTGCATGCGCACACGTACATAAACGTGATTATATAATATGTTTTTGCTTCGTCCATTTGCATGCGCACACGTACATAAACGTGATTATATAATATGTTTTTGTCTTGCCCATTTGTATGCGCACACGCACATGAACACGATGTTACATGATACATATTTGTCTTACCGATTTTCTCGCTAGTGCAAACGTACGTCGAGTCGCTGCCGCAGGAATGGCGGCCAGCGGATGGGAGCCAGTTCTACAGTGACGTCGCGGGATACGCAGGAGTCTGGCTCGCTTACAGGTGAGAGCTTCACCACATCAATGCTACGCGTACACGTATGAACGAGAGCTAGCACTGCGGGGTTCGTAGCGGGTCTTCCAAAGTCTTATAAGTACTTATTTTGCCAAAAATAAAATAAGGGCCCTTATTAGTACTTATTTTTGGTGAAATCTTAGAAAAGTACTNGTGATACGTATCATATGTCATCGTGAGTCTAGCTATAGCTAGGTCAACAGTTTCTCACATCACTTCAAGTGCAGAAGTCATCGCGTCCAAGATTCATAATCAAGAGTTAACGATTCCTCTTCATGGGCCAAAATCATAAGGGGCCCGCGGGCCCGCCCGCCCGTATTGTACGGCTCGGGCCTGACATTTCTAATATGAGCAAGCCCGACGGGCTCGTAGAAAATCAACTCCAGCATAGAAAACCATCCATCCCAGGCTTGTAAAATTTGCCAAGCAGCTAGGCCTGTAAAATCCCTTACCTACAGGCCTAGCTGGCCTATAAATTTTCAAACTAATTTCTACCCCTGCTCTTATTATGAGGAATTATTGTTGTTATTGTTATTATTATTACGATTATTACTGTTAGGTGGTGTTAGCTCTTGTTAGGATGTAACATCTACTGCTAATGCCTCTCACCTCATGCCTCGCATCTTGCACCGTATTGCACCGTATTCCCCCACGAGGGTTTCTACGTCACAAAGGTCCCCTTCAGCCCCTCTCACCTGTTCTTGATATCCCTCAGGCTGCTGAGAGAGAGGAAGGAGAAGAGCGGCGGTGCAGAGGGGGAGGAGGAGAAGCCCTGTGCGAGGGAGGAGGAGAAGCCCTGTGTGAGGGAGGACATGCTCCAGGCAGCCTCTAGACTCGTCGCCTCCCGTCGCAACGTCACGAACGCTGACAGACTCGTCTTCATCGGGTTTATTCTCTGCTAGACGCGCCGTCTCTCTCTCTCTCTCTTCCGTCTCTCTCCGCTCTCTCGTCTCTCTCTCTCTCTCGATCTCGTCTCCGTCTCTGCTCTCTCGCCTCTCTCTCTCTCTCCGTCTTTCTGCTTCTCTCTCTTCCGATGTTCCTCTCTTCCTCTATCCCTCTCTCTCTCTCTTCTCTTCTCTCTCTCTCTCTCTTCTCTCTCTCTTCACGTCTCTCTCTGCTCAGGCTGCCCTCTCGTCTCTCTCGCTCCCAGTGTCGGCGCGTTTCTGTCCCTCTCGTGTCGGCGCGCCCCGCGCCCCCCGGCGGCGCGCCCGGTCGCATCGCTCTGTTCGTGCCTCCCATCCCGATCGTCCGAGCTCCGCCTCTCGCCCTCTCCTCTCTTTCTCTCTCTCATTACCTCTCTACCTCGTCTCTCTTTAACTCTCTCCTCGTCTCTCTACCTTTTCCTCTCTCTGCCCCTGCTCTTCTTCTCTTCTGTCTCTCGCCTCTCTCCCTCTCTGCCCTCTTCTCAACCCAACACCACAACAACACACCATACACACACACACACCACCCACACAAGCACACACACACAGCACACCACACACGACGCACAGGGCACACAACCAATATAAGTATCATGGGTTATATTATTCTGGTTATATGGACGCGTTGGTCTCCTGGAGGGGGGTGTTATTGCGTGGTACGTGATGTCCAAGTGGATAATTATAGAGCTGACGTAGGGTAGACGCGGGGGCCGGCCCGACGCGACCGACCGTGACAGTGACCGTATTTACGATTTTGATGTCATTGATAGTAATTATAAGGCGGCGTGATTGGTCGGTCGGTGTCTGTGTGATTACCAAATGATGTGATAGCCTGATATTGTACGTGATGAATGATTTCTCGATTTATAAATCGATTATAGATCTGATGACTATATCAGTTAAAGTTTTTAATATAGCAGTTGAGTTTTCAGCTACGTGGTGTATATATACATATATATATATATATTATTACATAAATCCAGAGAGTCTAATAACAGCTAAATTGTCCTTTATTACTCCTGATAATATATATATATATATATAATATGTGTACTTGTCTAATTTTCAGGTACGTGTGTATATATACTATATATAACTGTGTGTGTGACTGGCGTAATATATAGTATATGATATATATATATATTACTATAATATATAAGTATATATATATATATATATATATGCACATAGTAATAATATATATTTTCTTATTCAGGTGATAAACATGCGTGTATATTATTTGTAATCGTCCACTGCAGTGCTATTTCAAAGATGTGCAATAAAGCGACGTATTGTACATGCCTAAACTTACAACGTCACGTTTACTCAGTTTCTGTTTGCACGAACTGTTGGAATCTTTGTAAACGTGTCAACCTACTACGACAAATACTGATACACTCATAATCAGCAGCTAAAGTGCAACTGATTACACTGATGTACAATCACCACCCACGCGATCAAACGATACTATTCACGATGTACGATGTCTATGTGTATCTGTATATACTCTGTGTATCCAGATCTATAATTGAATCCCATTCAGCGCACGGCCCTTGCATTTGTTTAGGATTTGCTTGAGTGCGTGCGTGCGTGCTCTTTCTCTCTCGCTTCCCCCTCCCACACCTCTCTTGTTTGCTGACTCACTCCTGCTCTCTCTCTCTCTCTCTCTC